AAACAAAACAGACAACTTAATGTAAGAGAGGTTTCAAAACAGCTTTCAGAGTCAAAACTACCAAATAGTTGTTCAAGAAATAGAAACCCTGTAGAAAGATCCTTTGGAAAATCACTTGACTCGAACAGTGTTCTGCACTTTGCAAATGAGATGATTTTTAAAAAAATAAAATTGAAGAGTCCAACCTTTACTAAGGCTCATGAAGCCTGAACACTTTCAAGTATGTAGCTCTAGGAAAAGCCACCCCAGATTATTCTTAAGTACGTAAAGTCTGCAAGAAAGAAGAATTTTTTAAAGTAATGACTTTGGAACTACTTGGGTGTTGATTGAAATCATGTTACCAGCACAATTTCAATACAAGAACAAAAGAGGGATTTCCTGATTCAGTGTTTAGAAAAAAGACACACTGAAAAGCAACTGCTTGTCTACACCCTCATCACGCTGAAACAAAACACACACCCACTACTTAAGCAAATGTAATTATATTAATAAACAGACATAACTACAATTGCACAATTAAGGTTGTCTTTAACTGGGAGCTACTAACCACGGTAGTATTACTTCTGGAAGTTTTCTTTTCTGAAGCATGTACCCCAAAAAAACCCTATCTAACAGAGAAATACAGAGAATACACTTTGGATTTCAACCAGACTAAAGTTTTATGTCAGGTTCTCAAGCGTTTCAACAACTGTCTTATACTGGAAGAGATTACACAAGGTTATGAAGGAAGCAGCCTCCCAAGGGAAACTTGACATTTTTTGCACTGGCAAGCTTTACTATTTCAGATGTAGGATCAGTTGCTTTAAACCACTATTTAAATGTCTTATTTTGAAAGGATCAAGAATGAAGCTCAGTTTAATGCGTATTTCTGCCTACTTTATGTCTTATCCTCAGAGGAGGTGCTTGTTACGTTTTATTCTATAAAACCAAGCCATTTCAGTAGCAGCCTGATTTGAACTACTGATGAGCCTTTTGGAATATGACTAGTATGAAATTCACTGTCTCATCAACATTTTAAAGACAAATCAACGTCCAATGACAACCGATCAATAAGGAAAACAAAAAGGGTTATTTCAGTCTTCAGTTATCTTAAGAAAAGTTCAGAAATGCTACCGAACAAATCAATACAACTTAGAGAAAACATAAATACAATTCATGAGATAGAAACACTGAAATATTTATTACGGTTAAATATTATAGAGTAATCCCACTTCCCATTAAGGTTAACTTTCTGATGATTCTTAAAGCATTACATATGAAAAGGATATTTTCACATCAACTTTTTATATGTGTGTAGCTCATAAACACTTCACCCTTCATTTACATTTAATTTAAATGCCGGAACACCTGGAAATTAGCAACTATATTTACAGAAAAGGCTTCATTAGCATTATGAGCCTCAAGTAAAGGAATCTTACTGAGTCTTAACTCCAAGAGCAAGTTAGAGGACAGAGGGCTGCCCACAGAGCTGAAATGAAGCCACTTCCAGATCAATGCCCCATCCAGCTTAGATCAGCTCAGACGAGGAGCATCTCTTTCCTGAACCTGCTCCAGAAACCATGCTCTACACTATTCAAACAAGAAATTTAAAAGCCCTCTCTCCAACTTCACTGACTCAATAGAAGTTCAAGAAGCCACCACAGAGTGCTATGGGCAGCTCCATCATCTCTAGGGCGATGACAGGAACTCAGCAGCCTGGGGAATATGCGTTTTATGGAGTACATTCATGCTTTATGGACAAGAAAGGTTCTGTAGAAGTGACCCAACTCCCTGCAAAAATTCTTACTGGAAACAACGCCAGCTCTGTTGGATGCTGTACTTACTACCTCCTTGGTGACAAGTATCTTACATAGTATCTTACCCCACCTTCTGGATGGGGGGAAGGCTGTGGACGTTGTCTACCTGGACTTCAGTAAGGCCTTTGACACCCTCCCTCACAGCATTCTCCTGGAGAAGCTGGTGAATCATGGCATAGGCAAGTGTACTCTTCACTGGGTAAAAAATTGGCACATGGAAGGACAATGTTGTGAAAAAAGGACATAGAGGTGCTGGAGCACATCTAGAGGAGAGCCACCAAGCTGGTGAGGGGTCTGGAGAACAAGTCCTACGAGGAGAGGCTGAGGGAACCGGGCATGGTTAGTTTGGAGAAGAGGAGGCAGAAGGGAGACCTCATTGCCCTCTACAGCTCCCTGAAAGGAGGGTGTAGAGAGGTGGGGGTTGGCCTCTTCTCCCAAGGGAATAATGCCAGGAGCAGAGGAAATGGTCTGAAGTTGGGGCAGGGGAGGTTTAGATGAGATCTTGGGAAGAATGACTTTCCTGAGAGGGTGGTCAGGCCCTGGAACAGCCTGCCCAGGGAGGTGGTGGAGTCACCATCCCTGGAGGGATTTAAGAACCGTGTAGACGCGGCTCTTCAGGGCATGTTCTAGTGCCCCGGATTGTGGGGGTTCTTTTGTGTGTGTGTATGCTTGGTCTTGGTGATCTCAGAGGTCCTTTCCAACCATGATGATTCTGTGATAGTTAAGCTGAAAACTGAATTGTCTCTACAACAGTTAGTACAGCTGTACAACATACTGGCAAGTCCCCCTAAAATGCTGCTCCAGCAACTTTTTATACTACACATTTCAAGACAAAGAAGCCAGATATCACTCTATGGACATCTACAAAATTTAATTCTAACTCCAGACTAGATGGACAACCAGAAAATAGTCACTATGCAAATGCATTAGCTGCAATATCAAGTCTCACAGAAATCTGAAAATAGCGGGACACAAAGATCACAGATCCCAAACATGGCTTGTTTCCTTCTATCTGCCTGTTTAGCAGCCACAAGCATTGCTTTTTTTTCCCTTGTTTTTTTATTTCAGAACAAACAGGCGAAATACTGACACCAAAGTACCTCTAAATAAAGCTCAGCCAGCAGACTAGTAATTGTCCAATCTACAATAAAAGCCACGCATCATTCTTGGGAGTAGGAAGAGCAAGAGAATATTTTAGATTATCTCCAAGAGATGATATATATTCTTATATATACACCCCGTAAGAGTATTCTTCTTCAGACAGCACTGACCATATACAGATTAGCACTACATTCTAAAACTTTCAAGTTTTAATAAGTATAGATAATTTCATTTACTACTCCAGAACTGTAGAATGTCAGCTAGAGATCTCAAACCAAGTCAGGGTACACTTTCTCAAAGGATGAATGCAGCAATAAATCATGAGAAGTCTAAGAATCTAATTGCACATTACAATGTTTACCAACACAAGTGAGCAGTAATACACTATTTCATCTTCCTCTTTAAAATAGATACATTTTTTCAGGACATACCAGACATCACTGAAACATCCCCCCCAGCCCTTCCCCAGATGTTCGAGTACTAAAAGATCAGCCATCATTTTGTTTAAACACTCACTTTCAAGTATCTGATTTCTAGAGTTGGGGGTTGGAAGGAGAGAATAGATGCATTTGTAAGTCTCCGTAGTATTTAGTAGCAAGTACAAAAATATTAAAACTAGTAACAGAATTTTCATATCAACATCTCATTTTCAATCTAATTTTGGACCAACCTTTCTTTCCAACAGCCACAATTTTCTACAGTTCTCCTAAATGCAAACACTGTATTATAGGCCCTGTATTATTAGACTGTACTATAGGCAAAAGTAAAAACACCAAGGTAATTTTACACACTGTCTCCAGTTTTAATACTGCATCTGCTACCTGTGCTTTAAGTGACTTGCTTTGTGTGAGAATTAAACTTCAAAGCACAGATTACACCCCTTTCTGGAGTACTTTATCAAAACAGTTCCCTCCCTCCCCCCGTTTTTTCTTGTAGATAGCAGAAAAGCATATTTTATTTAATATTTCAGGTTAAGAGTTTTGCACCAAATAATGAATTATGTACTTGAATGTTAGACTAGAAAGGAACCTGTAATCAAGTTCCAAAAGCAAAAAAAAGCAACCCTCAAATTTTGAAATTTTAACTGTTTGTAATCAAAAGAAAGCTATAAGCTATCCACAAGTTTTCACCAATTTGACCTTGATTTCTAACTCCGTCAATAGTACTATTATGCAACAAGCTACACATCCATAACGACTGCACAAGATACCCGCTGGATTGATGACAAAACATCAGAGCATTATCAAGCCAGCCAAATAACAAACCATAAAGGCAGACATCAACAAGGAGACAGCTGGTTATTACAAAATATTTCTTTAAATTATTATTTTAACCATTAGCGTGTCGAAACTGAGTAACATATCCAGTCCATGGCAGTTCCACACAAATGTACTCAACTATAATAACAGTCTACTGTCACACTAACTCAAATGATGAGGGGAAGAGGGAAGAAAATTGGGTGTCCTAGGAGGAGACCGAGGAACCGATACGCACGGCATTGTTCACCCATACTAACTATAGCTTCCCACCCTCTGCAGTCCATAGGGAAAGCACTGTTTACATTTGGTTTTCTTTGCAACTCTACAAACTAGAAAGGTCTGTTCAAATTAAAGCTTTGATTTTGTAGCACAGTTTTGTGGCCACAGAAGTATAGGATATACAGGATGCTGCTGCCTGGTTATGTGCAAGGAAAGATTCCAACTTTACTTTTGGATCCCCAGTTTACTGTGTCGCACTCAACTGTAAAAGCAGTTCAATTTTTTCTTTTATTCAAATGAAAATCCAAGTTCAAATTACGTGTACTGATATGATACTTGCAAGTCACACTTTAGACTAGATTCACACCAAACTTTTTTCTTAGACCCTACAGTCTAGAAGAGGAAGATCCATATATTCTCATGAGATTGTGCAAAACACATTTACATCATTTTAAGAACCATGTCAATATACTTCAAAGGATCACCACTCAAAACAAAAAAACCCCACAAACTTACCTACTACCATGAGTGTGAATTCAAATCCTCTCTTCACAGACTTCCGGTAAACTTGATTTGGAAGATTTGCAAACCCCACATATCCTTCAAGGTTCTTCTGTTGCTAAGACATGAGCAAGTGAATTCAAATCCTCTCTTCACAGACTTCCGGTAAACTTGATTTGGAAGATTTGCAAACCCCACATATCCTTCAAGGTTCTTCTGTTGCTAATACATGAGCAAGAAAAAAAAAAAAAATTAAAAGAAGAACTTGTAACTTCTTTTTTGCTTGCATTTTTTTTTTAGTTATTTAAACGTTCACTTCATTTTCACATTGGTAGAAAGGTGCTACCTACCCAACCTCTCAATAACCTAAGCTGCCTAAATCAAAGACAGAGCAATGAACTGCAACAATAAATGAGAAAAATTGATTTTTTTTTTTTTTTTTTTTTTATCTGGATAGTACAGCTAACTTTCTGTGCCAGGGTTTTTGCTGACAGCATTTTGAGCAACTGCAATTACCACATTACGACTGTGCAAGCATCAGAGCGTACAAGCACAAACAGATTAAAACATAATCAACTATGTTTTGATGCCCATGTGAAAGGCAGGCAAGGAGCATAAGCGCAGCTCTCCTGGGCTCCCAAGAGTCAGGAGGATACTGCCCCAACATGATGGGGACTAACCTGACACCCTCTACTTCTGGGTCACCCAACTGGAGGACTTCGTGTTAAATCTAGATCTACACTAACACAGCATGCATTGGAACAAACCCTCCATCAAGGCAAAACTTTAGTTGCCTCGTACTGAGAAGAACTTCTTCAAAAATATTGTTTGCTATGAAAGGAGATGAGAACTCTGGATATCAGCCATTACTACTTCTTACCACATTAATGAAAACGTTGAAGATACTTAAAATGCATCTCCCTCCCTGCACTAGACCCAGCAATCCTCCAGAGATCACAGAATTGTCTAGGTTGGAAGGGACCTTTAAGATCATCTAGTCCAACCAGCAATCAGATCAGCTGTGCTACTTTTAACCTGCTCTTCCAGTAGAATCCTAGAAATGTGTTTGATATCACAGCAGGTTTGAGTATTGCGTCTTATGAGACAAGACAGTTTAGTTCTTTTACAGAGAATCTGAAAATCTTTTCAGAAAAGACTGTCTACTTAAATAACATGAGGTACTGTTTCTCATGGAGCAGTAACTTCAGGCTTTATGTCCATCCAAAGTTGAGAGGGTATGATTTGATACTACCTCAATTTCAGAGCTTAAGAGAGTTATCGTCAGGCTTTATGTCCATCCAAAGTTGAGAGGATATGATTTCAGAGCTTAAGAGAGTTATCAACATCCACAGAGCTGAAACGCTGCCTACAACTATAAATTCCCCTCCCTAAGATTATCTTCAAGAGGATGGAGCAATTCTAAAAAATAATTAGGAAAAAAACCCCTGTTTTAGTTCAGGTACTACTACCTCAGAAATTCTCTACATGGGATAGAGCATGATAAATTTAAGTTTGGTACGTGCTTAACTTATGCTTATTTAGAAGGTTTTTGCTAAAATTGACAGAATAAACTTATTACACTAATAAGTCCTAGAGTTTAAAAACATTTTTTTAATTAAAGCAAACATTCCTTGAAACAATAAAAAAACCACTATCCCTTTTAAAGCACTGAATGCAAGAAGAACTGGCTTTGTAATCTGACAGCACCAGTCAATGAACTGACTACTTTAAATCACATAAGTGATATCTGCCTTTGGCAAACAAACCATTACTCTCAAGCAACGCTACACCACTCCAAAGACACACTACACTGGTGTCATCATCAAATTTAACTAAGTCTGAGAAGTCCAAACTTAGCAGTACTACGTTGAAAAAAGACAGATTTAATCCTAGAACAAATTTGTACCAGCTCTCATTTAGTGATAAAACATCAATTCTCCTTCAAGTCTATAAAAAGGCAGTATCTTTGAACTCATTAACTCACACAGAACAAGAGTGGCAGCCAGCCAAAGCTAGGTGTTATAGTTTCAATACACACAATGCAACAAATGTTATTACTTCTCTAAATGTAGGAATGTTTGCCTTGTGTCATCAAGAAATTTTATTTTTTTTTAAGATGCTTTTTTTTTTTTTTTTCAATTCAGTCTTTGGGGCAGCAATAGTCTCATCTGTAAGGTTTCAAAAGATTAAAAAAAATAAATCAGGCAGGAATTTAAAAATCCAAAGACTGTTTAACTTTTCAAATCTATTACTACAACTACGCAAGGAATAAAATCTGTCAAAATCTAAAACTGAGTAGGAGCTAATGCTTCACATATATTACATTACATGCAGATGGGTGCTCTTTATGGTATTAAAGAGCTCTTTAACAGTGTAGGTCCTTAGTAACTATTAAGGATCTGCAGCTGCTATCCATTTTCCCAGATGTAGTACCTAGTCACAGTCAGACACTCCTTGCAGTTCTACTTGTCAACCACCTGCATCTTTTAACGCCTACATATCTTTTAATGTATGTAATGCTTACCAGAAACAACTCAGCACCTCATCAAACCTGGGCAATACTTCTTTTGCTTAAAAGAATGACTTTACATACAATTATTGTTTTAAATGATTTTTATATCTCTTCCCCTTCACATAATAGCTTCACCTTTAGGATAGCATTCTTAAAGTTCTTAGTAGTAAAACTGAGTATGAAAGGCCAAACAAGAAGAGACAACTTTTGGGTCATTTGCTCTGTTAGGCAGGTCTATGGCGTTTACACCCGCAATTTTAGATTATGAAATACAAATGTTACTGACCAGAAAGATGTATGAAGCGTTACACGCTGACGTTAAAGCTGTATTTAATGTGAGCATTTACACTATGTAGGGAAAAGCCTTTTAAATAAAGTGAAGTCAAATGCTAGATTCAGATTTGTGGTATTATCAAGACCAATCAAAATTGAAACTGTTAACATACTGGTTTTAAAATGGTTGTATTTGTTCATAACTTGCTACTGCTAAATGGACCAAAACAAACTAGGAATTGGGTTTCTTAAATCCCTGCAACAGCTTTTAGAAGTTAGTTACTACTTTTTTTTGTTGAAGCATTGACTTTCATTGTATGGATTGCTGTGCCAGGTGAAATCTCATGTTTCTAATACTTACAGTGGCTTCCCCTTACATGTTTTCCCTTCCTGATTTTCAACCAGCTCAGTTTTCAGTTCAACTACTAAAACCCTAATGCTTCTTCTCTTTCCACAATAACTGTAACACATCATTATCAATGTAATACTTACAGCTACTTTGTAAACAACACATTTCCATCATTTCCAGTGTTGAAGATATGGATAGAATACAGCCAAAAAGCAGTCCAGTGAAAGGATGAATTTGAACCATTGGAGCAACGAGTCCACGCAGGTGCAGCAGCAATCCAGAAAGAGAAACAGGGGTGGTGTGAGGAGAGAAAGAAAAGGAAAAAGTTACTTACATTTGACCAACACAATGCTTAGCATCCAGCGTTTCATGCAACCTCCATTTACTTTTACGTGTATGACAGCTTCATTTCATGGTGATACACTACATGACCTCCACGACAGTTCATGATCGATACAGTTAGTTATTCAATAGTTCGTTTTACTCTAGTTATTCAGTGTGCTTTTTGTTTACCATATGTTATCTGAACCTGTAACAGGGCCGAGTGTATTTATTTTCTTCAGAGGCACTCACCAGAACATGCAATCCCACTTCACCACTCTACCGCACAATATTTTTATTTTAGAATGGAAAAGGTACAAAGATCAAAGGCATCATCATCATAAACGTCTCTTAGGGTTTTGTATTTCTATGTCACTTTATACATTCAGTGAACAGTGTCAATTCACTTCGTTTGCCATACTGAGCATTAGAGCAGCGCTGCAAATTTGGGCGTAACACTCACAGTTGAACAGCCAGAAAATAAAGAACAACTTAGAGGGCCACAAGTGAAGTGTCTGTTCAGCATCACCTAACTCTGTGGATGACAAGAGACCTAGTGCTAGTTCTCCAACGTGGCACTGAAAATACTTGAACTACAAACACATATCACAAAGATGACCCTTTAAATTTCTGTTTTCCACTAAACGTCTTCTCACGCTTGAGTATTTCAAGATACCAACGCAGGGAAAAAAAAAAAAAAAAAAAAAGGAAAAAAAAGCAATTAAAGATCTCAAAAA